TCTTTCCCATGGAACCAAATTTAATGCTAAGGTGTAGACTTTTCTGTCAGAACCCCCATATTTCTGCTGTAAATACATTCATTTCACTAGGTTTATTCCATTGTACATTGTCAGTTTAGGAGTGTATCTGGCCATGATGTGAATGCAAAGCAGAGTTGACCTTTGAGCTTACTGCTTGTTCCATGCATACTAAGCAATCTGAGAGTACTTTCTCATCTGCTTTCCTCTGATTGTCTCTCAGAGGACAGAAAGTACTGAAAGTATATAGATATACAGCAGAAATAAGGTCAGAAATGCCTCCCCCTCCTTCACCTCTCCAAAGTGCAGAACTAAGGGGTTGCTTTAGCGTAGCTAACTGATCAACTTTGAGCTGGGAAAAACTGGTATCAGACATAGAAATAAAAGATTTTAGAGGGGTAAACAAACCTGTATCAGTAACTTAAGGTTCGTACTCAAAACCTGGGAAATTGGCTGTTGAAATAGCTCAGAAAAGCAGTGCTCTCTGTATATTTTTAAAGTACTTAATGCTCAGCATTCATGTTTAAATATGGGGGGTTAATAGCTTAAAATATGAGTTTAACTTCACAGTGGTGGTGGTAAGTGCAATTTCATGGGGTGCTAATGGGTGGATGCAGCTCAGCAGCATGAAGAGGATGAGTCTTGGAGGAGGAATGTGTGGTAAAAATACTGACCTTACTGTCCAGGAGTTACAAAAAGCTGAATTTTACTTTTTCTCAGCTTCAGGATGTGTTAGGAGGGCATGAACATTCACAGATACGTTCCTAAATACTCAAATCCTGGAACTGTGTATATTCAACTGAAGATGGGCCTTGTAAGTCATCTGGTCCATCATGGGATCACAGGCTAATTCAGGTTGGAAAGGTCTCTTTTCCACCCCCTGCTCGAAGCCTGCCCCAGGCCACGAGGGCTTCATCCGTTCTAACCTGGAAAACACCAAGGACTGGAGCTGCACAGTGTTTGTGAAAGCCCCTTTCACTCTTTGACTCCTCTTTGTGAAGAAGTTTTTCTTTCCATCCAGGCTGACTTTCACTTGTTTCAGTCTGTGCTGGTTTTTTCCTGTCCTCCAAGAATGCCCCACCACGAAGAGCCTGGCTTTGTCTTCTCAATGACCTCACAGGTGAAAGGGTGACCAAGTGCCCCAGAAACCAGGCTGACCTTGCTCTGGGGAGTTTGTTTCTCGAGTACAGACCTTGCCTTGGCTTTACAAGAGCAAGAGCTGTGTCTTCCTCTGCCTCCCAACCGAAGGTTGCTGTCAGGAGGTGGGTGCCAGTACTCCTCTCACACCTTCCTTTCTTGATTTCTTTCTTACTTTATTGAAAAAGAACATAAATGCTCTGAATGTAAATACTGTCACACAGATTATCTGTGGAGGACTAACCATGGTCAGAATCAGAGCTGCCACATCAAGGAAACTGATGAAAGACTGAAATTCTGCATCTGAATCTGATCTGGCAGTTTTGCACTGGTGAATCTCTGACTGCCACTGCATTCCTGTTTCTGGTTTGAGAACTGAAAATGGTTTGTTATATCCATCTCCCAGTGCTGGACAGTCTGCAGGGAATAAAGAGGGATGAACTTCATTTCACTGATGCATCCCAAATGATCTTGATTTCCAGTTTAATGGAGAGCTTTGTGAATATCCTTTGTTAGATGAATTTTAGTTGTGTTAAGTATTTTTAGGTATTAGGAAATGAATTAGTGTTTAAAGAAAAGGGGAAAAAACACCAACAAACCTGTAGTTTAGTAGATGATACAGACAGACAGTAGAACGAGCTTGAACATTTCCAGTGATGATAAATGATGCCTTGGTGTCCCCTTTGATTGTGCTTTTACACTACATTTTGATAGTCTGCTAGATCTACTTTTTAAGCAATGAGCCACGCTCTTGATATTTCTGGTGCTTGTGTCACCTTCAGAGCAGACCTTTGTGTTAATTGATAGCATGGGGAAAATTCTTTTGTGTTCCTTTTTTTTTTTTTGTTTCCCCTTACAGGAAGAGCTTAAAAAAGAAAACCTCTTGTAAAAATTCCACTTCATACCAAAGGGTTTTGTAGGTGCTTATCATCGAAGGGCAGGGCTCTGAGAAAAGAACCTGGGAGGGTTATGAACCCCTGAGGAAGTGGTAACAGTGTACAAAGGACTCCATTTGTGTGTATCCTGTTTTTTGTAGTCGTAGGAAAAACTGTGTTGTGTGGCATTTTAAAGTCAGAGAAAATAATGGGTTTATTCAAAATAGCTGGGTGGTTTTTAATGATCGGCTGGCTGTAGGAACACGGCTGAGCAGCCTCTGTGAGTGTTTGGTGATGAAATCTTGGAGCAGTTTGAAACTGGAATGTACCAAAGACGTGTGTGCTCTGGCAAGCAGCTGTCCCTGGTGGTCAGCTAATCTGATGAGGAGGGAAAATTGTGTTGCAGAGAATGTTATATTGCAAAATGGAGATCTTGGATCGGCATCCAGAGAGCTTTATTGGAACACAATATTTTGTACTGAGGAGGAATGACATTTAAAATTTTTTTAATAACAAGGGAGGAGGGAGGAAAGAAAAAGATGTGAAATGAGAGATTGGAAATAGCAGAGGGAATTATTTAAAGCGCTGTGACATCCATGCAAGGCTATAAAGACATCCTGGGTGTGCAGTGGGGGAGGGTGTGTAAAAGGTGTGGGAAGGAACTTCTGCCAGGCTTTCCTTTAGTGCCTGTGCAGAACAGCAGTGAAGGAATGCTTTACAGAATGCCTGTTTCCTGAGGGCTTCAGCCAGCTCAGCCAGAACTCCCATGCTTTTTTGGAGAGTGGATTGGTGTCCATGAGCAGAAAGGGCAAATACATCTCAGTTTGGCTGGGATGTGTTGGGTGGGGCACGGGAGGCTTTGGGCTGCCTTGAGCACTCCTGGGACAGTGGGCAGTGTTTCAGTCCTGTGTCCCGGGTTACTACACCAGAAAAGAAATGTGATCTGTGTTGTCTTTTACCCACAGGCCCTGTGAGTTGCCTGTCATTCTTTAAAAATTAGGAGCTCTTCATAAAGCAGAATCTTTTGGAAAAAGTGTATATGTTGTATGAATGCAGTCCCTGAGTAATAGGATAATTTTCATCTACAGTGGAGCAGATCTTGTTGTGCTCATTGCTGCTAGATCAGTTTGCTTGGTTGGAGAGGATGTCATGAGGCAGTTCAGGACTGTGAGACAAAATGTTTTCTGCAGTATGTTCATCACTCGCTTAAACCTTTTTTAAGTGACTCATCTGCAAAATATTTTTAAAGCACAGTGTAATTTTAAAGAATTTATTGATTATGTGCCAATAGATGTGCCCTTCTCATCTTCTGTGATACAGATCACTTTAAAACACTTCAGAAGATCTCAGACATTCACTTTCTCGTGCCTTACCTTACATATTAATTGAATACATTGAAGTTTGTTGAGAAGGCTGATTTAAAATAGGCTTTTGCATTCTGCCTAGGCACTTTTTGGATCTTATGGACATGCACAGTGTACTTACTACCTCTGAATTTATTTAATTCCATTCTACTATACTACAGTGTGGCTAATATCACGTTTCTCACATTCTTTACAAAAAAGCCCACTATCAGGTAATGATTTGGAGCTCTCTCACGTACCATTTTATATCACTGTTTCTCACTCAGTCTGTCTCTGGACAGCTATTCAGCCTGGTACAAGTAGACATAAATCTGTTTCCTTCAGCGAGGCAGGCCCTTTTTTCAGTGGGCTGAAATCTGTGCCACTTCTATGCACAGTATTGCTCTTTGCATTTATGTACATACAAGAAGGTGCAGTGTCAGACACTACAGACTGCAGGCTTAAAAAATACTAATTAAGTACTTGGGAATCGTGAATTGTATGCTGAAATCCCACAGATTATGTGGTGAGGTTTAATCTCAGTCAGAGTGTGGAATCTCAGATTTGTGTTGTCCTCATAGAAGCACAGATGTTCACTGAGCTGGCCAGTGTGAGATGCTGCAGACAGGGTGTGCCTCTGGATTAAGAATGTTTGTAATGACAAGTGGAACGAGTGTAAAGGTCACTATGATGATACCGACTTGTATTGCCAGACCATTCAAACATTGAGATCTGAGCTCTGAGCACTAAAAACTTCAGATGCTTAAAGCCCAAGAGCAGAATTTTACCTTTAAGCTTTAAAAAAACTAGGTAGGTGAATGGAGTCTCCCAGTATAATTTATCCTGTAATTCTCTAGTTATTACATAATATCATACCACCAAACTAATACTGAAAGATACTTTCCTGTAAATTACTAATTTTTTACTGAAGGCTGTGAAAGCATCATTGGGTACCTCATGTTCTTTGGAGACCTTGTGTTCTTTCCATAGTAATCTAATGCTTTTAATTTTCCTTAACCCTTTCCTGGCATAGGCATGGCTCTTCTGGGAGAAGGGCTGAGGCACCAGCCCTGTGTTCTGTAACAACCCTAGTGCTGGTTCTGCCAGACAGGCTTCAGTTCTTCCATGCAGCAAGTTTAAAATCCCATCATATTGTCCAACCCTCATTTGTCATCATTTCTCCCCAGCAAACCTCCTATCAGTGACTTCACTGCTTCTCCCAGTTCCACTGGGGGAGATGGCTGAGTGGGTGTCACCAAAATGAGAAATGGGGCTAAATCTGGTGATGCAGAGTAGGATGAGATAATGTGGTAACTGGCACTATTTTAAGCGTTCTCTGTTTTGTTCATCTCACTCCAGATGTATCAGGCACTGAAGAAAGGATAGTGCTAATTGGGGTCCAGTTTCTCCTGTGCATAGTCAGGCTGTAAATCAAAAGATCTGCATTATGGAGATATAAATACAAAAACCCACAGACCAACTTATGTCTTACCTTAAATCTGTTGTCCTGGAGAGAATAGAGTTGTTGTCAGAAGAAACAGAAAGGAAAGAATCTGGTTGAATATGGTGTCTCTGAAGTGTTTCTGTTATGCCTTCTTACTACACTTCTGCTTTCTCTATCCCCTAGCTTTCTTTGGGAAGTACCTAAATGAATACAATGGCTCCTATGTGCCTCCTGGTTGGAAAGAATGGGTTGGATTACTTAAAAACTCTCGATTTTACAACTACACACTCTGTAGAAATGGAGTGAAGGAGAAGCATGGATATGACTACTCCAGGGTAGGTCCTATTGATTTATTTTATTAACGTTTGGACGTGACCACAAGAAAGCTGCACTTTATGGTTTCAGTCTAACTAAAGAATTCTTTTTGTACTTGAAAGCTGGTACATGTACCATTATCTACAACCCCCAACAGCAGCAGTGTCTGGACATTTTGTTATCTTCCATTCTGGGAGGGTCATGGTACTGAAAACATTATTAGCAGCAATGGAAACAAACAAAATGTCCTGAGGCTGTGTTAGGTATTATGAGCTGAAGATGTGAAAATGGGTTTAAATGCTGCATGATGGCTATTTCTGTGTTTTGTACTTTAATTATTGTGTGACTCTGATTTTCATCTGTTCCCTTGGTATAGAACTGTCTTCAGTGGAGTTACACAAGCATTAATGAGATAAGAATCCAGTTCCTCCAGCTGGACACATCTTTTTAGTTTAAAGAACTTGTTTCACAACCACGATATGATGGAGAATTCCTAGAATCTTGCTACAACATAGGATGATTCTGAATGAGTGGAGAATTTAACTATTATGTTTATATTTCCATACATACGGGTGCAGATGTTTCCTAATATCCTTTCAAGGATGGTTACACCCTGACCAAACTTACAAAAAGGCTTGATAGTCATTGTCAAATGCAGCATCATTTTTTATCTCATCTACCATGTTCCAGCTCAGTACCTGTTTGCAGTCAGGAGCACATTTATTTCAACCAAAAGTGTTCTTTTCCAAAGGAACCACTGTAGTGGAGTCCTAAAATGGGCTGAAGTGATGCTGAAGTATGAAGGTAAATAAATCTGTCCATAAATTGCTCTAGTTTTGGGGTATAACATAGGAAGTAGAGTCACTCTGAAGAGATTTGTAATGTGTATTTATTTAACAGGGATTTGGTTTGCTTTCTCTTCTTGGGCACAAATCCTGCCTCTGTGTTTGTGTTTCGTTAGCATTGTGTTCACAGTCAGTATTTCCTTTCAATGGTTGATATCTGCGATTTCCTGTCTGTGATTTCCCCTTTCTTCTGCCCTATTTGCCTTTTTTAATTGAATGTACTCCGTGTTGAAAGATAAAATTTCACAGTCTGCCAGGGTTTCCTTGTCCAGCACCAGCTGCTAAGGGGAAGGGGCAACTGCTGTATGGGATTATTTATCTTTTATTGTCCTTCTGATCTGTGAAGAATGAGAGAGAGCTGATCTTTGCAGCTGTGTACCAAAAACGTTATGGTGGGAATTTATCTTATGGTGTGAGGGAAGTGATTCCACACTCACTGTTCTCCATCTCCATCCATTGTACCATGGAGTCAACAGGAAGTTTATGTTCCAGTATCCTCAGCTCTGATTTGTGTGTGCAACACTTGAAAATGTTTAGGTTTTCACTTGTTGTAGTTTTTCTTACCAAGTTTGGTAATAAAAAAAAAAAAAGGCTGAAAATGATGAAAATAGAGATGTCTTTATAGTCTTCATATTTGTGCATAATAGATAGCTGCAGTAATAAACAGGTGATAGTGTGCAGAGCATCAGCACTGGCTGATGTTAACACTGGAGTTCAAATGAACAAACAAGCTGAAATATAAGACTGTTTATCTTTCTTTCCTGTCATTTTTGTTGCTGGAAACTTAATTTTCCAGCAGTAAACGATATAATCAGATTATATTTTAGCCCTATCTATTTAACATAGTTAATTATGTGCCAGTGGAAAACTAGAAAAAACATTACCGATTATTCTGCCCTCCAAAGTGACTGCTAAGCACTTATGCTCTGAAAATGAAATTATTTCAGATTTTTTTTCAGGATATATTCTACTTCGATTTTTCTTTTTCGCTTTCCGTCAACTTTTTTTTTACATGAATTTTGATTTTGTACAGCTACATCCTCTACAATAAGGAGCTTCAAATAAATCCTGTAAGAGATCAGCTAATTGAAATGTTTCTGTTTGGTCTTTTGGCCTGCTAAACAGTGAGTTTGCAGTGATTTTCACTTTGACCACGTGGAAACCTTCATCTTCAAAGTGAAATTGGAAAACTGTGCTCTTCTATTGGCTAAATCAAAGATGAGTTACACACTTAAAGTGAGTGCCCAGGTTAAAGAAGAGAAACATTTAGGATAAACAGCACTTTTTGAGAGCACTTCAGTATTCATTCCCTCCCAGCTATGAGTATTGTCTCAGGTACTGAAAGCACATTCAGAAGTCAGTTTTGCATTGGTCTGGCTTATTGTACATTCTCCCTTCCCCTGCATGTTCTTGTGAGTGGAGGTCCTTCAGCTGATGCCTCTTTATACCTCCTTTGTGAGTGAGGAGATACCTCAGTAACAGTGCTGATCGTGGCAGTTTCATAACAGGCATGGCTTGTGCTGGGACCAACGTGTGAAATTATAAACGGAGACTCTGCTGGCCTTGTTCTGGGATAGACAGGAAATAACCTGGGGAAAGTAAATACAGCCCATGGAAAAGGCTTCCTTTGATGAAGGATAAGCTGAATTCCCAGCTCAGGACGTTGGCAGTGGGGAAGAGGTGCAAGGAAGAGAAGCACAGCCAGAAAGCTGTACTGAGAAGGAGATGCAATCCAGTATGTACCACACCTTGTACTGGCTGGCTTGACCAGAGGCAGATGTTAGGCCTGATTTTACATTCTGCTGTGGCATAACACTTGTTTTGGTTTTTTAAAGGTGCAACTTCATATCCTACTCGTGTTTGAGGGGTATTTATATTTGTAGCATTTATATTTGTCCTGTGAAGCAGGAGAACGTGCCTTAAAAACGTCATTAAAAATGCTGTCTTCAATCCCTGTAGCTTTTAGAGATATCAGAAAAACAATAATGATGCTTCTCAGAAAATAGATAGTCAACTCCTCTAAAGGAAGTTTTCTAAATTCTCAACCATATAAAACTCTATCAGATTGTCACTGTAATATTGAATGAAATTTTTTGTCCAATTAACCCACCATCTTTTACTGACTTCTGGTTCAGAGGGAGGTTAAAAAAAGAACATCAAGCCATTTGTATTTTCAAAGGCTATACACCTTGAAGATACTGACTCTAATTTTCTTTTTATTTTTATATTAATACCTGGTCATTGTATTTAGTATTGTGATCTTCATAATGTAATTACCCACTTTGGGAAGAAAGAGGCTATCTGATCTTATTTAATGCCATTCATTTCTGAGGAAAAGCTAGAAGCTGTTGTTTTTATATTTCTAGGCAGTGAAGAAAGAAGGATTTGATTTTAGTTATTTATTTTTTTTTACTCCTTCCTCCCATCTTTCTGAGTGAAGTAGCTCCTTTTTTTTTCCCCCTGTTTCTTATGATACCTCAGACCTTCCCTTCCTGTCTCACCCCCCCAATTTGAAATTCCTTTTCAAATATCTCATTACACTTTTACTTCTACTTGCAGGATTATCTAACTGATCTGATTACCAATGACAGTATTACCTTCTTCAGACTCTCAAAGAAGATGTATCCTCACAGGCCCGTGCTGATGGTTATAAGCCATGCTGCTCCTCATGGCCCTGAAGATTCAGCCCCTCAGTACTCACATCTCTTTCCTAATGCCTCACAACACATGTAAGGAAAAAAAAAAAACCAAACCCCTTTGATTTTTCAGGTTCTGGAGTGTGGAATTCCTGGGTAACAATGTTTTTCTTTATAATACTCTTGGCATAACCTTGTTACAAATATGTAAGAAGAGTTTCCAGACTTTTGTTTTGTTTTGTTTGTGTCTCTTCAGACCGGTACAAGTATTTGGAGAATGGCTGCAGAATTAATTGGGCATTGTTACAGCCTCTTTGGGAATTAAGGCACTGTTTTTCTTTTGAGCAAGGAGATCAAAATCTGGTTCTTGGGCTGTAAACTCTTCAGGGAAGGAAACTCCTATGTCCCTATTCTTATGTATAAAGTATATTATTTTAGGGATATTAGCAGAAATCACGTATTATACAATACTTTCATATATGGAAAGAAGGCAAATGCAGGCTTGCAGCACCAGATGAGACAGACTATTTCAGAGTGAGCTGGTGTGTCTGTCCATGAGCCAATGCAGTGTCTTGAATGGATCCCAAAAGCAAAATCACCTGGTTCCTGAATTACCACGTTCCCAAGCTCCACATTGAGATGGCTCTTGTTTATGGCACAGGGACAGCTCTGGAATGCTGCATTGCAGGGATCTCCTTGCATGTGGATAAAGTGAGTGGTTCTCCCAAATCCCTTTCTCGACACAGCTGAAAACATTCCAGTAGTTTTCTAATTCCTGGCTTCATGCCTTCATTGGTGTTCAGCATTTGGAACTTTCTTCCTGTGTGCTGCAGCCCCCCTTTTTTAAGGGGAATTTTGTCTGATTTTGGATTTGTGAAGGAGCTGGGAACTGATGGAAATAATAATCAACTGATGACCAAAGCTGCTCAGGCCTAGTCCAGAGTCCAGTGAAACCCATTTGAGCTTTTATGCTTAATTTAAAATAGAATCTGAGGGAAAAAGCTTCCTTTGTTCTATTGTCTGGTTATTGCATAACTTAGAATTACGTATTTCATTATTTTCTACAGTGGCATAGATCTACAGCAATTAAGTATTTAATGTTTGCCATATTGTGCTCATTTATGTTCTTTGAAATGAAAATTACAGACATGACCAGTGAGCAACTTCTCATGGCTTATATCCTTTAGAAGGCATTTGGATCTGGGAGATGATAATCATCTATCTTGCAACAGTCTGTACTGATTTACTTGCTAGTTGAATGAAAAAGAGTAGAAGGATTTGAGGAGGACCAGTAGTGAGAAATACAGACTATATCTATTTTTCTTTTGCTCCTGGTTTAAGTCTTATTGTTGTTCACACAGATTAGGTTTATCCTTCTGATTATAAAGTAATTACACAATTTTTTTTTTTTTTTTAAATTTTAGGTGACTTTTCTTACAATGATAACAATTACATAGGAAGTATCTCCTCATGGAAAGGAGTTTTGTTTGTAAAACAAGAAATTACCATGGTAGATTAAGGAACTGTGTTTTTCTTTTGGATATGAATTTTATGTACATCTACCACAAAGAAACTGCCAGTCATCTTCTAAACAATTTTTCCAGCACTGCATAATGATAATAATTTGTAAGGGCTTTTATTGACCTGGGTTTAAGAGTAAATGTAAAAAATGCAGAACGTGTGCATAGAGTGAGGGAGACGATGTGAGTTGTTCTCTGCTTTGTTTTTTCCCCTTGTTCCCATATTCCAGGGAATCCCTCAGTGACAGGTAATCTGTCAATTAAAAAAGGTCATGGGCTGTTGTTGCAGTTTGTGGATATGGTAGGGCAGGATCAGAACACAGGGGGCAGGAACACTTAGGAATTGTCCTAAAGCAGTAAGAAATACCCTGAAGAGTCTTTGCCCAGTCCCAGCCTCAGCAGGCAGGACACCCTGGGCATGGCTGTGACACAGGCACATTGTGGAGCTGTGTCCAGGGCCAGTGGAGGTGGCAGTGCAGTGCTTGCCATCCCCACTGCATGGGGAGGCACTGCTGGCAGTGGTTAGAAGCTGGTGGTGAGGGGTTTAGCACAGACAGTCAGGGTGCTGCTTTGCTTGGGAGCTCTGGGATCTCCTGTGGCGAATTTGTGTGCTGTTCTCTTGCTGCTTTTGTTCCGTGTTCATGGCTGGTGTGACCATTCTGCCCCACACTGCAGCCTCTCCCTCTCATCCTGGAGAGCTCCTTTCTGGGCGCGTCTGTGGTCTTGTCGTGTCTGAAAATTATTCACAGAGCAAATCCCTCGGCTGCAGGGCTGGTTTTCCTTTATTCCTGCTTCTGCTGTGAGCTGCAGAGAGCACGACAGCCAGGCAGCTGAGCAGGGATCAGAAATGTTGCTGCAACAGAGGGGACATTTTCCCACCCATCTTTTCCAAGGTCAGATGCAATCTGACTGGGACTTACCTTCTGGGTGCATTTGAAGGAGTTATCTTAACCAACTTCTAGGAATGTTACATCTGTGTATTCTTCCATAAGGCAGAAAAATCTGTTAAGCATAAGAGGGTTACATTTGTAGTAATCAAAGAAAATCACAGGCTTTGGTTGGATTATGTAGTGGGAGGTTTCAAATCAACCAGGAAATCACGAAGTAAGCTGAAAAGGAGGTTGCAAAGCATTTTTGATTCATTCTGGGCATCACATAGCAACAGTTTCCATAACTGTCAGCATTTTCAAAGAAGCAATGCCATTATTTCGGCCACAATAACATTCTGAAATTCAAGAGACTATTAACATTGCAGAGAGAATAAACACCAGCCCTTTCCTCCCTGTATGAAGAAGCCTCCACTTGCCACCTATGCACATTTTTCAGATAGCATCTGACAGAGGCTTTCAGCATAAAGCATTTCACTGGCAGATTATTAGCTTCATATTTATATTAAATCTCTTAATATTACCTGTCACATTTAAAGATATATTAGATACCCAGCATTTTGATGAGAAGTTTCAGCTTATATTACTGTTATTTATCTTAATAACTTACCCTACTGCTCTGTTGCATACACAAAATCAACAGTAGAATTTTGCCAGATAGGAGCTGAATTTATCAGGAAATTCTGTGTTGCTAAGAGGAAAGGAATGGAGTATCTGCTGTTCTTTCCTGTGTTACTGTCACCCTCTGGGCTTGTGCATTTGCATAGACTGAGTTTATTGCTCTGAATGAAAGGAGGAAGCCTAACCAAATTACTCAGGAAAAGTAATCTTTAATATTTTAGACTCTGCAGGCAATGTGTTTGAGCCAGGGTGTGAGGAAATTGGAAAAGGTTGTTTTCAACCTTAAGTAATACCAAACTTTAAAGGAATAGATATAGGAAGTAAAAATAGTACTTCTTGCAAATGTAAGCTATAATATAACTTCTTGGGGAGTTAGTGATGCAGAGAGTTGACACCATGGTAATAAACCCTTCTTTAGGTTCAGCTGACCTAGAGCAATATAATAATGAACAGAAAAGTGAGAGCTGGGACTCCCAACAATGTGAAACTATGGACAATCAGTTACATTTTCCTTATCACTTTAATGGTGTCCCAGGACCATGAGAACTTGGAGGGGCAGTGATATTTCAGGGGGATGTCGAATCCAGTTTTTTGCAGGGACTTTAATTGAAGTTTCTGATGATCACGAAGGATTTGGTGGCTGTAATGTGTCTTCAAAATACAACCCTGTTTCCCTTCAGCCCTGCTTTTCTTGGCAGGTCTTTAAAATCCATTTGCACCCACTAGTGCTGCTCACATGCCCTTGGATACCAGCAGGCAGAGTGCCTGTGCTTCTCTGGTGCGTGAGCGTGAAAATACTCAAGCAGCCAGTCATGCATAATTCCAGACAGCTCTTAAAGAACAAAGTAGAACCTTTTCAGCAAGTCCTGTGGTTGTCTTTAAACAGCTTGCACGAGCCACAGTGTTTGGTGCTGATGTGGGCAGAGTGAAAGCAAAGCAATTACGTGAGTAGGAGCTGTGTGACATGTGCTTCATCTTCATCATGCTTGTGGAGTTGAAACATCTGAGGCCAGTCTGTTGGCTTCCAAATGGATCCATATTAGTCCGAAGTCACTGCAAAAACAAGGTGTATTTACTCTTTTCATGGATTTATTCCCCACGGAGTTGTTTTTCGTTTTCCCACGTTTCATAACATGAAAGTATAAGACATTTCCAAACTAAATCTAATATTTTCTTGTGCACCTTGGAGAGTAAGTCCTATCGTGTCGATAAAGTAGAAGTTACTAATATTTATTATGATGGCTTTTTTTTCTACTTGGCTAAAGCCTTCTGGTTTCCTCTGTGTTCCTTAGAACTCCCAGTTATAACTATGCTCCAAACCCAGACAAGCACTGGATCATGAGGTATACTGGTCCCATGAAGCCCATACACATGGAGTTCACCAACATGCTCCAGAGAAAGCGCCTCCAAACACTCATGTCTGTGGATGACTCAATGGAGATGGTAAGATTAGGAGTGCCCTTTATTGTTTTTTTCTTTTTGCTAAACAGGTTTCTTGAGTTAAAGCTGTAGATGAAGATAAGGGAGAAAGGAGGAGGAGGAGAACTGCATCAGTTTTCTAATAGTGTGTCATCCTCTCACCACTGATCATTTTGGCTCTTCATTCTGTGTATAAGGATCCACATCTCCTAAAGTCCAGTACCATGAGGTGGTTGGTGTGGGCTGATTTGTTACCACAGAACCACTGCTGAGTGAGGGGAAGAGGAAGGGATCACCTGAAAAAATATGTATCATATGTCCTAAAAGTGTACCCTCTGATAGAGAAAAGTCATCCTACAGTCTGCTGGAAATAAATACCTAAATGTGTTCTTGTTCTGATCCTGTAACACTGAGTTTCTGAGAGAAGAAAACAACAGCAGCAAAAAGTGATGTTACAGAAGTCCTCACTGGAATGATCTCATGGTAAACCCAGCCCAGGATGTTAAATGTTGGAAATAAAGAAATAAATATATACGTTGATACATTAAAAAATTTAATTAAGTCTACATTAGGTAACAGTGAGATCTCGTAATGCAGACTGGGTGTCTTCAACAGAAATGTCTGAATTCACTAAAAACTACTCTGAATAAGAGTGGTTTTCCAGATCTAAAAAGGCAGATTTGAAGGAGTTGCAATTTACTGCTTATTTCTTGGCATTCTTATTCAAAAAAGGTAGAACATAAAATAAGTGGAGTGCTGTAAAGGAAAGATGAGATTATATGGGTGGTATTGCATAAATTTGTTACTTATGTCTTATAATTACTGATTCAGGCAAGTATGATCTCTGTCTCATGTTAATGAACCTGTTCAGATGGTTCAGATTATCAGCATTAGGGGAGATTAGTGATTTTACTACTCTGCTTGGATTTTCTGTTCAGTGAAATGGTTTCACTCTGGGTGATTGACTGCAGGCAAAATCAGTTAGGTTGTTTTTTAGTTCTAATTACCAAGTTCTCCTGATCTTTTCCACTGAATTCTATGTGTCTAATAGTCTTTCAAAACTCAAAAGAAAAAACAACCAAATACCTCACACAGAACAACAAAACCAGCACAAACACACTCAAACGAACAAAAAAACCCCAAACTAAACAACCCATAAAAGAAGCAAAAATAAACCCCCAAACCAACAACATCGGAGTTTGTTTTCTTCTGTGCTGGTGGGTTCTGGGGTGTGTGAGGCACCGCTTTGCTGGTACCCCACCACCTTCGTACCTTTGCAAGCCAAAACATTACGTAAAAATTGATCTTTGGTGCTCAAGTTGATACATTTCACATAAAGATGCTCCTGTAAATTTTTGTAAGCAACCACAGAGTTAAATCTCATCTTAATTCTCCATGGTGAGAGGGTATGACCGAGTGTTGTTGATCTGGAAGATATTGTGCAAATATTCTGCATAATGGGGGCTCATTGAGTGAGGCAAGATCATTGAGTGTTGCTTAAATAAATGTGAGATTTCAAATGCTGTCATTTTATTAAAATTGTTTGCTGCAGGAAAAAGATAAAGGTCGAGAGAAAATTTCAAAAATGACAACTTGAAACTCTTCTCTCTGTGACTGTTTGTGTTTGGTACTATCTTGACAGCTCTTAGGCAGAATGCTGAACCCAAACACTTGGGAGTGGCAGGTTAATGTGTTCTACCTTAAAAGAGAAGTGTGCCTTGCCAAAGCCACAATATCCAGCTAGTAAAATTAAGATGTGATTATGGATTGTTCAGAGTGGTTCATTGTGATAACTCAGTGCCAGCCTGAGTTGTTGTTATTTGTTTGTTACTCATGGGCAGAAAATGATAGCCAGTATTCCACATGGACATGAATTTCATATTTTGTTTTGTTGTTGTGTTTTTTTTTTTTTTTCAGATTTACAACACATTGGTTGAAACAGGAGAACTGGATAACACATATATAATATACACAGCAGACCATGGTTATCACATTGGGCAGTTTGGGCTGGTGAAAGGGAAGTCCATGCCCTATGAGTTTGATATCAGAGTTCCTTTCTATGTCCGAGGTCCAAACGTGGAGGCTGGGTCCTTGTAAGTTCTTGGCTGTTGTCTGTGTGCATATGCAGGGATATTCATTCTTTTAAAGGTTAAAATTATACATGCAACTGTGTAGTTTTCAAGTTAAAAAATATGTTGTATCACATTCACTGCCACAGTAGATAATTACTGCTGGACTTGTTGCAGCTTATAAAGAATAGTTCATATGTTATCATGCACAAAAGGTTCTTTTTGGTTCATTCTTTGAGATTACGTGGTTAGGGGCTGTTGGATGCACACAGGCATGCAGAGTGTGCCTGTTAATTAAAATGGTAGCTTTGAATCAGCTAGGAAATTATGTAAATACACTTTCTAAGCAATTATTTCAAATAGCAAATATTTGCACTTAAGTAATGGTTTTGGACAGAGTACCATAATTTGCTGCCTTGTCTTTATATCAGTGTGCATGTTTTAGCATAATTAACACACAGTCTTCCACACAAAATTCTTTTTTTGCTGCAGATGGGTCTAGTGTGTAAAACAATAACAGATAATTACAAAAAAAAAATCTCATTCCGTGTACTGATTAAATTCATTGATTCACATTATCTGTGGGCACAAAAATGTTAAATTCCGTAGATATTGCACTGTGTCCCTAGTTTGTTTTCAGCAGTTATGCATATTAAAAAAAAAAAAGCAACATTACTTCTCTAAAAAGGAGGGAGGGAGTCCTCAGCTGGAATTAAACACGTTACCTCAGCACTGCAGGAGTTTTGTCTGCAGCAGCCCAGAATTTCAAGTGAGCTGAAATAGCCTGCTAAGAACGTGCTGTCTTTCCCTTTGACTGCAGTTCTTGGCCTTCCTGGAGAGGGAATGCTGTTATGGCCCGAGTGGACTGAGCTGGTGTTTCTGCAACATGCAATGCCAGAGACCAGCCACGTTATGTCTGCTCTAGTTCAAGGATCTTTACACCCAGGCATCCATAAAAGCTGTGAAATCTTCCCACTGAATTTTATTTTTCAGAGACTTCTGAAGATGAAAGAATAGGAAGAACAGGATAAAATAGCTTGGAGGGGAGATTATATCAAAAAATAAATTGATCTTCCCTCTCAGCCTGGTTTTCTCTAAATGGTGGAACATCAATCATCCGTGTTTTGTGTGAACCTTATGTTTTTCCTGCAGAGTAATTGTCATGACTCCCTTTTGATACCAACAAAATTTTAATAGCAGTCACTGTAGCAAGTCATTACTAAGCTCTCATTTCTATTACCAAATATATAGTACATCATAATTATTAGTAATTAAAATCAAATTAGGTACATCAATTTAATTCATCATCCATGCTCTTGTCAGTGCCTGTTTGCTCACTCACTCAAAAATGTAGTAATTTTTAAATAGTGTCTCATTAATTAGTGTGAATTTAGCAGCTTCCTTCTGTCCTGAATTTTTTGGGCTGGTGTTCCTCACTGCTGTTTACAGCAGCCCATCTGGTCCCATCCTGCCTTTGTTTGAACAGAGCTGGAGTTGCTTGGTGTCATTACATGGACTTGAAACTGCGTTCTCCTTTCTGGTTTTTTCCAGGAATCCTCACATTGTGTTGAATATCGACCTCGCACCTACCATTCTGGATATTGCTGGATTGGATATTCCCTCTGATATGGATGGTAAATCCATTCTAAAGCTGCTGGATTCTGAGAGACCAGTAAATAGGTAAGAACTGGGAATGTGTGTGGAAATGTGTGTGTGTTTGTACAACAGACTGAACAAGTGCTCAGCAGCATGCACCAAATTTAAAGGAAAATGTAATAAAATTCCCATCTCTAGGATTACATCATTCCCTGGAAAGTCTGAAGACTAGTTGGCAATATATGACTCACTTCAGTTAGGTATTTTCATTTTGGCACGTTCATATAGTAGATGTATGGCATATATGGCATCTGTATATACTAAATATAGTCTGTGTAGGAGGGAGGGCTTTACCTGTGTGAGTTATAGATTTTAATTGTCTCTGTGGCATCATTTGTAGCAAAGCTACAAATTTCATTTTGAATGAATTGTAGAGTAATTGAATTGAAAGGGTTGGTTGTATATCAGACTATAACATAAAGACAGGCTAGAACTAAAAATTGTAGTTATTATTTAAGACTTTCCGTCAATAGTTTCATTGGGAAAAGGCTGAGGAAGAGAATTACACTGGATTCTTGCTAGAGAAAATCAGCAGAGAAAGGGAAGGAGATTTATTTGCTTTACAAGTAGTTGGGTGGAGGGAGAGGGGGAAAGGAGCAGCTGCTTTAGAATAGGCTACTTGGTGGGTAATATGCAGGTTAAGAGCCCAAACTTGGGTCATGAAATCCGGATTTAATTTGTGATCCTTTGTGATGGAGGACGATTCAGTTAATCCACTGTGCCTTAAACATGCTTACGTTGAAGAAATTGTACTCTGTGAACCTGTGGTGGATTTTTGTCCCTGTGAGAAAAATCTGCCCATGGTTTGTACTGGAGAGGTGGATGTGCCAGCATCATAGAGCTGGATGTCCCCTTGTGCAGTGACATGGCGTGTCTCACTGGAATTGGGGGTGGGAGAGCAAACTGGGGCATGGCTTGCTCACTGGTTTTGTGGGAGTTGCTTCTTCCTCTCCTCATTTCCTCCCAGGTTCCATTTAAAGAAGAAGATGAAGGTGTGGAGAGACTCGTTCCTGGTGGAAAGAGGGTAAGGAAAGTGTTAATCACAAAGCCCAGTCTCTATTTTAAATAGAGGGCCACTGAATAGCTAAAGCCAGAGCAGCAATGCCACAGTGTAAAGCCATTTAGCTGTGCCAGCAGGGACACGCTGCAGCATTGCCTAATGGCACTGATTGTGTGATTGGAGGGAGTGGATGGCCTTTGCCTACAGCCTGCATGAATGTGCTCTTGGGCTGGGGGAAGGGAGTTTACTTGCACTGAGAGATGGAAAGGCATCCCATTTTGCTTTCAGCTGCTGCCTTCCCCACCCTCATGCCTGTGTCATGGGAGTGTGAATAACCCTTCTCTGCATGTTCATCTGCTGCCTCTGCCTTATTACGTCAGTGGGGCACGAGGGGTTTGCAAAGTGCAGCCCTGCAGGATGAGCAGGATGTGGTCTCTTTATATTGACTGTTGTCACTGCCTGCCAATCAGGCATGAAACACAGTCCTGATTTTGTATTTTTTTTTGTATGCTCCTTGAGAGCATGACATGAGGAACTTGTGTGTTATCAGAGAGGCTCAGTGCTGGCTTCTACTGGACTATTAATTTTTGGCTACCAGTGTTGCTATGGACTTGGAAAATAACACGCTCCTCTGAGTCTTTTCAACGAACTGCATTTATATCTTGGAATTAATATTAATGTAAAACCAAATATCATTCTTTTTCCCCAGCAAACTGCTGCATAAGAGGGAGAATGAGAAGGTAGATGCCCAAGAAGAAAACTTTCTACCCAAATACCAGCGTGTGAAAGACCTCTGTCAGCGAGCTGAGTATCAAACAGCTTGTGAACAGCTTGGCCAGGTAGGGCATTGTCCCCTGACTGAGAATAAGGAGTTATAGTCAGGCTAAACTTAACACCCTCACTGTGCAATGTCCTTCCCCACATCGTCCCTGCCAGCTTATGAATCAAATGGCTCTGTGGCCTTTGCTCAAAACCATATTACAGCATTTATGAGATTGACTGTCAGTCAGGAAATTCTGATTCAGGCATTCTGCATTGATTTCAGGTGGTCAGGAGAACCACTTAGGCTGTTTTAACATTCTATTCCCCAAATAGAATGTGGTTTTGGGATACATTAGTGATGAGGAGCTAAAATGTACCTAACAGATTGGCCTTCTCCAAATACATATAATTTGCTTTGCTTTGAAGTCTCTATTTAATTCATTTTGTTGATGTTGGATCCAATTTTCCAGATGCTCTTTTCCTCCTGTGGCTTCTTTGTCAGGTGTAGTTTACTTTGAAACTATAATGTCCTGTCCTTCCTAAAAACACTAAACTTAAAAGGAATATTACATGCAATAGTTTATTGTCATCAGATGTCTCGAGCTGCAGTTTTAGCTGTGTGGGAGCAATCCATTGTTTTATGAATTTGAAATGTTATTTGAGGAACTGGGGGAAAAGTTACTGTTTCTGCTACAACATCATTCAGTAAGTAGTACAGGGAAATACAGCTTTTCTTTTTCCATCAGTACTGTCTTTTTGAAAGCTGTTTCAACTTCTTCCTTTTGTCTTTGTCTTCCCAAATATTTTGAACGTTACTGTAAGAACAGAGGGGAAGAGAGACTTTCCAAACCCATGTTGTCACTGAATCTGTCACTTTGCATAAGGTAACTTAGCTATGTTCAGGCTTTCTTACTCTAATTGCCACATGTCTCAGTTGTGGAAGAAAGGGGGGAAGACCCTGTAATGTCTACACACATCCACAGGCTTATGTTTTCTTTCCTGGGTGATAAAATATCTTCGACCTCTTTAAGAAGTTGGTATAAAACGTCAACTCTGTAGTCAGAGTTGCCAATAAATTCTGAAGTAAAGATGTGCTAATAAGAGGTGTGTGTGCTGCATCCTCATTGTCAGGAGACAGAGGGGAGCAGAATTGTTTGGAGCAGTTCAGTCAGACATAATTGGAAGTGATAGGATGAAATTGAGCAAAAAAGAAATTTACGTTGGACATCAGGAAAAATTGCCAAACAATCAGGTCGATTAAAGTCTGTGAAGGGCTCTCAAGGGAATCTCAGTCCATCTCACCATCTCACCCCTACTCTAGAGAAAATGTCCTGGTAGTCTGTCTAGACAATAGGAATAGTGGGAGATGAATGTGCTTATTTGAGGATAAACTGTGCCTAAATATGGGTGCACCCAAAAATCTTTTCAGAGTGAAGCAAGACCAACTTCTCAGATGACAAATGGGTGTTGTCTGTTTGCTGGTGCTGTTCACAGCTCTGCATAGTAAGTAGAAAGAGCCCAAATTAATAACATAATTATGTTATTAACAAATTAATAACATAATAATAACCACTGCCTTGGTGGAGTTCGCAGTATGCAGATACAGGGGTTATTTATCTGGAGTGTTCAGTACAAAAAGGGAATTTTCCCATCCTGATGCAAAGATGAAGAGAAGTCTGGGTCAGAATTAGTTGAAGGCTTGCTAAGGTCATTGGGATTCTGTCTTCTGACTCAGACAAGATTGGGGGACCTGCTGTTGGGTGCACAGAGAAATCTGAGCAGTCCCAGGGAATGTGGAGGGTGAGCAGGAGACAAGAAGCCCAAACGGAGGACAAAGACTCAGAAGGAGAGTGAAGGACAAGAGAAAAGGACAGAGTTTAAAGTAAAAGAGAGGTAAAGAAAACTCTGAATGTGAGGTGGAGAATTTGAACTTCTGCTTTGTGAGTGTGCAAGTTTGTGAATACAGTTCTATTGCCACAAAATGATCTTCCTTTGCAAATCTCTGTCACCCTCCTTAACTTATAATCGTTTTGGTAAGAGAGCACCAGCATCGTGGAGAGGAGGCTATTCATGCTGTTTAAAACCTTGTTTCACAGTCCATTATGTGGAATTTTTTTGGCAACAATAATGTATGTAAATTCTCCTGAGTGCAATGGGAGTCTGTGTGTCGCCATGTTTTCTTTTGCACTTAGTGGGGTTTGCTCTGTGTTCGTTATTTGCATCCAACAAAGGGGGACTGTAGACTCAGATGAAAGAGCAGTTCAGCATTTATATTCAAGGATTTAAAGCAGATGAGCTCTTCCCACATGAAATAAAAAACATTTATCCTGGTACCTAATGGCTTCCACACAAATTTTTTCTTCTCTTCAGCCTAGTTTGGCCTTTCGTTCTAAACCGACTGGTGAGTGGAAGCTGACCCACTTTCATCTGGCAGTCTGCATTAATGTGCTTTTGTGGAAGCCAATTATGATATCACCATTGCTCTGTAGAGCACTCCCAGCAACTCCACAGTATCATAACAACAGCTGCACAAAATCTCCCTCTAAGTAATTTGCCAACTTTGTGCACATTTGATGAACATGCAGTACCTGCAGCAGTGCTGGCTGCTGTAGGGAATCTCTGTTGTGCTTGTAAAAAAACCACCAAAGTTAAGAGATAGTAATTTTGTCTTTAGCTGGACCAGGCATAGTACAGTAATATTGCTAATTCATGAGGAAAAATAGTTGTCTGAATTGACATTATTTCCCTTTCAGATACTTTTTATTTTCAGAGCTTTAGTTACGTGCGCATTCAAAACACAAACATTTATAAGGAGTTTCTTTAAAAACTGGGAAGAAAACTTTTCAACTGTCTATCTTTTGTGGTTGTCTGGTTCTTTCGTAGCTAGCAGAGATATCCTGAGGTTAGTAAAGAATTTAGGTTCTGTTGATAAGAGAAGTGTATCAAGCCAGCTGGAGTCCAGATAACTTTAATAGCTCCTTTGGCAGATCAGCTGGAGTTCCTGAATTTCAGCACAAGTTGCACGAGATCAGCAACTTTCAGGATCAAGCTCTTAATCTGTGATTGCAACAAGAAATGACTTGCTGATAACTTCATACACTAAAAATTTTATCAGCCCTCAAACTGATAAAATTAGGAGGCAACAAACCATGAAAATTGAAATAATGGTGATTTATTAAGGCTGTTATCTGAGGATTGTATTCCTCGTCAGGAACAGTAATTAACAAAACTGTTTTCCTCCTTTAGCTAGAAATAGCCTGTAATGATTTCCAGAGGCTATTTTACTCACAGTATTTTTTTGCTTGTTGCTTCACAAACCCAAGGAATTTGTGTTTCTCATTAACGGAGATTTTTTAACTCCTTGTCATTGCAGTGGTGGTTGTTGTAAATAGCTTGCTAAAATCAATACCGACATTTAATAAACCCCCCCAAATTTTCAAATATATCCTGACATGAGTAGCAATGTACTTCAGTTCAAAGAAAATGGGCTGCAGGTCAGGACCTTGGGCTCCACACTCAGTGTGGGACCTCAAGACAAATCAATTCCCCTTTTGGTGCTGCTTTTTCCTCCACCACTAATGTAATTTCTGCTAAGGCTGCACTCACTGCTCAGCTTCTGCAGTGCCTACCACAGCAGCTGGGACCATTTGATACCACAATCCAATTATTATATTAATAATAAATGAATTACATAAATGTAATCTTAAAATTAGCTGGATACCTGCTTTTTCTTTTGCAAGCTGGTTGTAATTGTCCCACCTACCTCACTTCAGCTACAGTTTGTGGCATTAAAAAGCCCTCAAGATATTCTGTCAATAAATTGTTCATCCATCCTGTAATTTCAAGGTTTGAGTGATATACTGTGTGTGACAACTGACATTGAACTGAGAGCTCAGAGGTGTGAATCTCCAAAAATCATAAAATAATGTCCAGTTGGAATGAAGACCAGGCAGTGCTGGTCTGTTTATGGACTGATGACATGAAATGGAGGAAGCCAGACTCATCCTTTGCCAATGGATGAATGGGAAGGAGGTACAGGGAGAAAGGGGGAACCCAACAAGATTGTTAAAATAATTAGAAAATAATACCACTTGGGAAGAATCAAGGATATTCAGTCAAAAAAAAGAGTTGAGAAGAGAGGATTCTGTCTGCCTGAATCTAAGAGATGTAGAGAAGAGGTGAGCTAATGATTTTAAGTCAACAAGAGCAGAGTAGTAATGTGTGTGAGGCAAACAGTGGGAAATGGAGGTTGTCTGTTCCCTGAACCCTGTACCATCTGAGCAGGAGGACAAGCTGCCAGCAAAAGCAGCAGAACTACCTCTTGTGGAGTAAGGGGTGTCTCTCTGGATTTTGCTGCTTTGTCCTCATTACCCCAAGGAGAAATAAGACAAGGAGCAAAGGAGAAGAGCCAGCTAAACTATAACTGGACTCTTTCAGACAAGGAAAAAAAGAAATTTATCCTGACTGCTCATGAATCAGTTCAGACTGCAAGGTAGAATGTTTCTAGCCATTAAAGCAGTTTGTTTGTAGCTCACCATCTAATGTGGCAGCAGCGTTGGGCTCAGGAAGCTTCTGCATGGATTAAACACGACAGATATTACTGAAGTGTTTTTCTCAGGTTGCTGGCAAAGACAGAAGATTTTATTATCCTGTAGAAATGTTGATTCCTGGAGCCTAGATGGGTAAAACTGTTAGGGAGCCTTGCTGGCAGCTCACTGATCAGACTGTTTCACTTTCTACTCCTCTGTACAAAGGAATGGAATCTCTTTCACTTAACAAAAAGAGGAGCTGATGAGACAGAGCATGAGGAATTAGGGCTCAGCTCTGCAAGCTGGGTGTTTCAATGGAATATTTTCTTAGCAAGGCTTGTGTGATGAGCCCTTTTCCCCCCCAGAAAGCAGTGTCAATTGAGAGAGACTCACTGAGGGAAATGAGTGAATTGTAGGAAAAAAGTCCTGGCTGTTTATTTCTGATTTAGGCCTCAGATAATGACTTTGAATTAACATCTGTGATTTGCTGTAGAGGTAAGAAGACACTGATGCACAATAGTGCAAAAACCACTTCATGGAATTGAAGACTGGGAAGGAAATAACAGCTTTTTAACACAGAAAAATACAACAGGTCTCTTTCTGCTAAGGGGTCATGTGCATGCTCAAGGTGAATAGTGTTACTAGAAGGGAACAAGGCATCTGTTCAATCTGCAACTGCTGCCGTTAAGATTCATGTTTCATGCATAGTGGAGTCCTAATTTACTCTTGGGTAGCAGATAGTTTGGGCTGGAGGGGAGAACACACCTTACAAACTGTGGGTTTGGGGGTTTGTTTTTTGTCTTTGCAGTGTAGATTTGAACAACATTTCTGTTCACCACCACTAATTCCTCCATGAAACCAAAGCCCAGAGTCTTCTGCTTTGCAAGCAAATGGCTGGGGAGCACCAGTGGGCAGTGGGGTAGGGGATGGAGCAGAAGTGTCAGAACAAGCCCAGCACAGCTGGTGGCAGAAAGCAGAAAGCAGGAGCACAGTAAATAACTTGGCCCGCCTGGGAGTGGTGGGAAATCTCCAGCTGGAACAGCTTCAGTGTTCAAATGAGGTGTCCAGAACGTTTTGCACAATGTGAGCTTGATGGGCTTCAGGACATATTGCAAAAACCATTTACTTGATGGTTGTTCTGACAGGCCTTGCAGCAGGAAAGAAAGGCTCTTCCTTTGGAGTTTTGATCTGAGCTGGGATGAAGATTGTAGAGCGGTCTGGGTTTTCCACTGACTCTTGACTGGTGTTAAACTCCCCTCCCTTTCAAGTGTTAGCAACTTTGAGGTGTTATGAGCTATAGAACTTGATTTAGGAACACATCATTTGCCCTGATGAAGAAAATACCTGAAAAGTTTGATGCAGGTGGTGAACTGAGGACACTTTGTTTTCTTGACTGGTTGAGTTAAGCCACGATTTATAAATAATTGTGTTTTGCTGCTGGATAGTTATCATGTGTAACTGTGAGCCAAAGTATCCCTGGGGCACTCTGAAGCTCTTCATGTGGAGATTTTATTATTTAAGTGATTATTTCTTAAGCAATATTTTAGTTGTTGCCAGGGTTGGATCACAGAATCAGAAAGGTTCAGGTTGGAAGGACCACGCTGTTGGATCTCAGACACATTCTCACACATGCCCATATCTATTTTGGGGGAAAAAAGGTAAATGTGTTCAGTGTTTGCTCCTAAAGTAATTTATGTAGCTCTGCACTGCAGTCATCCAGCAGTGGGCCTGTTAATGCATACAATGTAGCCTTGCAGCAAAGCCTTTAGGATGTTTTCACTGTAGCATGAAGCTGCATTGGAAAGATTAAAACTGCACCAAAAATTAAAGGATTTTTTTCTGCTTCACCTGGAGGGGGAAAATGAGCATCACTCTCTTGACAAGAGATGAAAGAAAATAGAGAAAAAATAATTTTGGGCCACACATCAGAGCACTTAACTTGCAGTAATTCTCATCATGGCATTTGACTTGCCTTTGTTGAATCTTCATTTTTCATGTATTAGACACCTATGGCATAGAGCTCTACTGAGCAGAAAATGCAGTTTGTGTATATATTTTCCAAAATAAAATTGAGATGAATTGAAGTGGGAAACAACACTGAACATTTTTACATCTCTTTTTGGTTGGGAAAGAAACCACTGCTTATTCTGGTGACATAACTTTTAAGTTCAAACCTGGGTCTGTGCATCAATCAGTGTTGGGCATTTATGAAATTAAGAGAGCAATTTAGGCTTCAGAGGTTAATTCTGTACCTCACCTGGGTAAATGTGGAGTGCTTTAGTTGGGGACAGTCACGCAAAGGTGTCTGATTCAAATGTCTCATTGTCAGTGTCTCTCTTTGACTTCCTGGGATCCCTTGTGCTGAAAGTAAAACCAGCTTTATGTGCATCAGTGCAAGGCTTGGGAGCTGTTTTCCCTTCTGTCCTATAATTTGGAAAATTCTCAATATTGCAGTGAGTCCTGGAGGCTCAGGCTTAGGATTTTGTAATAGGAAAAAAGAGGAACTCCTCTCAAGACTCAGCAAGAAACTGAAATGTTTTGGAGAGACTCCATTTAGAGCAGTAGCAGCTGCTACTACAAGGGGGGTTTTTTTGTATCTTGAAGCCTCTGTATTTGGTAGGGTGTTGGTAAATTAGGAGTAGGTGAAATCATTTTGGGCAGTGGGTAGGACTGTGCCAGGTTGAAGGCAGCTGAACTGCCTTGCCCTCGGTGCAGCTCTGACAGCAGCACAAAGGCAACTGTGAGCAAGTTACTTCAGGTTTGGAGTAACAGAGGGAGTTGGAGATGAGAGATAAGTTTTTTTCTCTAGTTTGAGTGCAAGAGGGAAAGGATTCTCAGCTTCAGAGGCATCCAATGCAGCTCACCATTGCCAGTCTAGCCCAAGGGTGTTGAATGGGAAAAGCTGTTAATAGAAACACTCAGGATGGAGATAAACTTGTCCAACTCCAGACTTCCACAGATGCTCCGAGCCTTTTAAAGGTCAGTTAAGAGAAACAGGCACATTTGCAAGGCAATACTCCATGCCTGGAGGTGTTCAAACCTGGGCTGGATGGGGCTCTGAGCAACCTGGTCTAATGAAGGGTGTCCCTGCCCATGGCAGTGGGGTTGAACAAGATGGTCTTTAAGGTTCCTTCCAACCCAAACCACTCCATGACTCTATCTGAAGTGCTTCCATAAAGTTAAAGGGTTTGGTCCCACTGAGCTGTGGGTTATAAATATAATGAGATTATCAGGATTTAGGATACAGCTTGAATGTCCTTGGTTTATGCCACAGTTAACGCTTCTGAAAGTTGTCGCTTGTCGCCTCTGTGTTTTTAGCTGTAGCATTGATTTTGTTAAGAAATTTCCATTGTTCTGCCTCCAAGAAACAAAATGAGAAACAAATGTGAGGGTGTGTTCCAAAGAGTTCCTGGTTTGTCTGAAAATGGAAGATTACAAACCCTCTGCTTTGGTAGTAGGTGATAGTTGAGCCCCAGTTGACTACAACGAGGAATATCTGATAGATTGCTCGAGCTGGCCATTAGACAGAGCACAGCTGGGACAGACTTTCAATGACCAAATTCTTCTTGCAGAAATGGCAGTGTGTGGAAGATGCCAGTGGAAAGCTGAAGCTGCACAAGTGCAAGGGAATGGCGAACTTGGCAGCTGCAGGGAACCGCAAAGGCACCTCCAACCTTTTGCCCAAGTATTACAGCAGGAGCAGGGAGGACTGCAATTGTGAGGAGAATGAATACAAGCTGAGCCACGTTGGGCAAAGAAAGAAACTCTTCTCCAAGAAAAGTAAGTGAACCCACTCACTGCATGTTGTGCCCCTGCCCCGGGGAGCTGTCCCAGGTTTGTTTGCTAAGGGGCACAGTCCTCGCTCCCATGGGCGTTCTGACTGCTTGTTCCCTGTGTATCCTCTCTGTCAAACAGAGGGCCTCGTGTTGGACAGGCAGAGTTGAAAACACCTCTGTCTGTAGGAAGAATGTTTCGTTCTGGGAAGTGCAGTGCACACACCAAAGTGGCGAATTGCATGTGGTTATATTGGCCATGGAACATGAACAGTGTTCTACAGCAAATCCTCCAGTTTCCAGTAGCTGCTGCAATGCTTGGGGCTGTTGCTGCAGTAATTTATTTTTAATAAGGATGTGTGTGCTTTGTTACAGAAGCTGCTGGCTTCCAACATCCTTTCCTTGTGCTCAGTCAGCAGAGACAAGGCTGACTTTTAACCAGAGATAACGACCAAAGGGGATGACTCTGCTTCTAGTTCCCTTGGCACACATCAGGTGCTTTCTTTAGAAAGCCCATTTTCCTGACCTTACTCAGACTAACACATATATTTGAAGTATATAACCTAATTATAGATTAGAGGCAAATGGAAGCACAGAATTATTAGCGACTTGTAACGTTTCTTTCGTCTCACTCCACAAATACAGAGCCTTAATTATTTAGCAGATTAGTCTTTCTATATAATGACCTGGCACAAACTTCAAACAGAGAGTTTAAATTGATTTTCTCCCATTATATTTGCTTGGCAAGCTGATTAGTAGCTACTAAGCTAATTTTTAGTTGAAAAAAAAGTTCTGGTTCCAGGGTGAAATTACTCAACTATACTTGATGTTTAAATATGTGGCACAGCAGATTATCTGGTGTTATTTAAACACTAGAACTTGCACTTAATTGACTACTTCCTTTTTTGAAGTCCCAGAGAAGAAAGTTCAGTCCTGGGGATTCAAATAACAGGTGAAGATTGAAAGCACTTAAATGAGAAGAGGAAAACAATTTAAGTGAAGGCAACATAATGCTATCTGATAGCACTTAACGCTTACTTAAGTGCTTTTCCTCACTGCTTTTCCAAACATGAACTAATTTCCACAACATCCAGAGGAGGTGGTTAAGTGCATAATTACCTTTAGTTTATGTATGTGGAGAGGTTGAGGTAAAAACCATGAAAGTTGCTCCCTCCAGCAGAGGACTCAGAATGGTTGTGTTTCTCCCTGTGTTCTGCTCAGAAGAGGCAGAGTTCACTCTTCAGCTCCCTCACCTCCTTGAACCTCAAGGCGTAAACTTCGGTAGCTCGAGATAGGATCTTGCCAATTAGGTTGTCATTGCCCGTGTCTTAACTAAAATAATTGCCTGCACTGATGCTTTGTCTCTCCCTCTGCCCACATCCTGTGCTCTGCAGGGAAGAGGTTCCCTTGGGTTTGGTGTTGGCTGTTCTTTCCCCTGCACTTATCCAGTCTGTCACACACCAAATGCAGATGAGCACAAAGCAGGGCAAGTCAAGGTGACATGAGGAGGGTTTTCTAAACAGCTCATGTGGAAGGCTGGGCTGTGTACAGTTAGAGGGGGACCTGGATACTCCTGATGTGTATTTGGCTTTCTGTCATCTGTTTCATGAGACTTGGGATGAAGTGCAGTCTGTGCTGGGTTGTTTAGTCCTTCAGGCACCTTTAGAGTTGGCTACTCAGAATTTGATGAGTGCCTGAGATGATACTGCAGGCCTGTTTGAATGCCAGTAAATGCTGTTCATAGGATTGAACAATTGCTAAATAGGAAATAGACATTTCAAACTGGACTGGGGTCATGTCCTCATGAATGCTGTAGTTCCCAGCAGTAGTGTAGTCCTGACCAACCACTCCCTCCTGTTGTGTGCAGTAGAGACTTGCAGAGGGCAGTTTTGAAGGATTCTAATCCTACAGACACCTGCAGAAAACCAGGCTGGATGCCCTGCATGTCTGGTGCATCAAGCACGTTGCAAACCCTAATGGGGTACAAGGATTGGCCTTTCAGAAAGATTAAAACCACTTATGTATAGTGAGAACAAGTGGTCTAAAAGGCCAGACTAAATTGCTGATAGAGGGGCTGGAGCAGCAAATGTTTTGATAAAATAATTCCTTTCTAATGACTCATTTTCAGGTGCCCCAGTGCATTTAGCAGGCAGCAGTGTTCTTTAAACTGAGTCAAGTCAGTTATAAAGTGGGATCATGTCATGTTTGTGCCATTTGGGCTGCCTAAAAATGCAGAACTTGACCACGAAGCTTTTAAGTGCCAGAAACACACGAGCGTTAATATTTGGTGTAATCTCGGTTTAGGTGTCAGGAATGTTTGAATTTTTGCAAACGTTTTCTTTAGCATGCTTTTACTTTTATAAGAAAGATGAAACAGAGCTTTGCAGTAGGTAGGAAGTTTAAAGTACTAGTGAGCTCTTAAAATCTTCGGCTCTCTTGTGGTCTGTTGTGTTTTTATTGCTGTGGATTTGATCTCCCTCTCCTGTGATGAGCAAGTGGATGTGATTAAAGGAATTCTCAAGCTGCATGTAGGGAAATGATGATAGACCACACAGATTTGTAAACAAACAGAAGTGTGTACAAAGGGCTTAGTGCATTATTATTCCAATTTTCCTGTCATTCATTTTTCCTTTGAGGTCGTCTCAATGCTGGAGCAAAATGGCATTCTTTGTTGTTAAAAAAAAAAAAATAATCAGTTACTTTAAAGATAATGCATTTGAAGTATGATTTTTCATAGTTGTTGTGAGTAAATGGGATGCAAGAAAATTTTGTGGGTTAGGTGTTTTTTCCTCTTTGAAATATCTAGGGACACAGATTCAAAACATGGTTTCTAGAATTCCCTTGATACATAATGCCCAAGAAAAAACACCTCTAAACTTCATCCCTATTTCTAGACACTGGAGATATTTTTTTAAAAAACGTCTTTAAAATGCCTAATTTTACTTTGTGTTATGGAAAAAAATTGCTACTACCAAATGCAAAATACATTGATGTTAGTGGGAAATGCTCCTTTCATCAGGTTCCAGTGAGGACAGGCATGCTGGTTGTGTGACCCAGGAAGATCCAACTGGATGAACAGGGCACTGAAATCAGTTGGCTTTCTTGACTTCAATTTTTCTGGGTTTTGAGACTCAGTTTTGGGGTTGCAGCTTCTCAGCAGTTCCATCTTTAAGGCAGGTGGTTTTTCTGGAGTAGCTGGGGAAGAGAAGCATTGGGACTCAGCTTAGCAAAGCCAAACTTTAATAACTTGAAGAAGAGAGTGTAGATGTTTTGGGCCAGATATTTAACAGCCCTGGATCTGCTGATTTTGGGCTGTGTACAGAGGTCAATCGATTGGAGAGTAAAACGTGAACCTGGGGGAGGATCGACTAATAAGTAATTAAACATTGGTATTTATGCCTGCAGTGCACTTTGCAGGTGGGAGAGCACAGCACGAATGAATATTGATCTCATGAAATATTTTAACCACTTCCCCCGAAAATGGTGGAGTTTGGTACTGATCACAGCACGGGGTCAGCACTGGGGGTGGGTGGCTCATTGGGAAGCACTACAAGCAGTCCTTTGGGAGCTGCCTCACTCCAGCCCCGTTTGTTCCCTGCGATGCTGGGTGGGTTTGGCTGCACAGGGAGGGGTAACTGCTGGCTCCCAGCTCTTCAGGGGTGTGTGTAGATGACTATCTGTGCAGGTCCAGCGTGCTGGGTTTGGCATATTAGACTTGGAAGGAAGATAAATGTTAGTTGGGTGAGCTGAACAGGATGAAACGAGGGAGTGATTAAAGAAATGGGAGTTTATACTTTGAATCTAATTGTTGGGGTGTAGCTTTTTGGAACTTTCTCCTGCATCTGAAAAGATGGGAGTTTCCTTCTCTCTTAGTCAAACATTTCCTGAATGGTTGCCTGCAGTAAGGCTGGTCTTTTGTGGCTTTTTTTATCCCTTCAGCAGTGACTCACCTGGCTTAATATCAGCAATAAACTTTGAACCACAGGTGGAAAATGTGCAAAGCCGGCAGTCCAGCTGCTATTCTACTTTCTGTATGTGGTGCTGACAAAAATACAGTGCTTGGCCCAGTTTCAGGTGAGAGCAGATGTTTATTTCACTTCCCACAGTCTGCAAAACGGCTTCTGAGACTGTGCAGTCTATCTGAAGTGAACGTAAGGCTTCTTGAAAAAAAATCACTGCATCAATGCCAAAGCATGACAAGTATTCCTTTCGTCAGTTTTGGTTGCTCATAACAAATGTTTCATTTTGCTTTTGGGCTGCAAATTCAGAAGCAAAGTCTGAGGGAGTGCAGAGCACTGGAGGGTGGTGCTTCGTGGAGAAACTCACTGAGACTGGGCTGCACATCAGGAAAATAATTGTGAAGCAAAGAATGGGATGTGGATAAAAGTACAGATTCGGATATTAATCCCTCCTGAAAGAATCAAGCATCCAGCCCTGGAGAGCGAACACAGAAATGAGAAAAGGCTCAGGCTGAACACGGGGGATGCTGGGGAATCCTGGCGGAGGAGCTTTGTCGGGAGGGCAGCAGGAAGGCAGAGCCGGTGGGTGAGGGTGTCCCGGTGTGCCCGGCGGGGTTGGTGCCCGAGGTGCGGCTGCCACCTGGTGATCGTGGGGAGCGGCGGCGTCCGCTCGAGCGAGCTCTTTGTTCTCAGCGAGGCCGGGCAGGAGCCTTTCCTTTCCCCTCTGCCACTGGTTTGTGTTTGCACTGTACCTGCCCTCTCCCGAGCTATGGGGTGTCCGTCCATCCTTCTGTCCGTGCCAGAGGTGAGGAAGCAGCAGCTCTGTTTGTCCATCCCCTTAATTCCAAAAAGCACAATACAGGCTGGTTGTTTTCCTCCCAGGAACCACAAAGAGGAGTGAATTGTAACGTGCTGCTTCTGCCCTTCCTTCACTTCTTTTTCCATGCAGAGTTCAAACCAAGCTATGTCCGGAATCGCTCTGTCCGTTCTGTATCCGTGGAGCTGGATGGAGCTGTTTATAGCCTGGGTTTAGAGGATGGATTCCAGCCCATCTTACCAAGGAACATCTCCAAGCAGCACAGGGTGCAGAGGGCTGTTCTGCATGAGGAGGAAGACAGAGACATGGGGGAGTACAGTGGCACTGGTGGCATTGCAGAGTACACAGCCCCTAACCTGATCAAAGTGACCCACAGGTGAGTGCACAGGCTGGAGTCTGAAAAGATTTTGCTGCTCAAGTGGCTGCTGTACCTAAATGGGTGGGTTGAAGTGTGCTAAGCATATTGTGCCCCTGTTGGACACCCGGTCTAGCTTCACCAAAATTCTTATTCCAATCTGTACAACAGTCTTTGGTTCTGCTGCAGTTTTGTCAGTACAGAGGCTGAAGATGCAGCTGTGCTTTTGTGCCTTCTGCTCTGGGTCGAGGCAGCAGTCACAGATCAGGGCATTTTCCAGGGAGGACAAGCAAAACTGTTTGCAGCAGTTACTTGTTCACTGTGTGACAACAGGAGAGGCCTTGCCCCTGGAAATCAGTGTGCAGGTGACCTGGCCTGGCTGGAGTATGAGCTGGTTTTGTGTCACTGGGTGCTTTGCACAAGCTTTCTGTAACCGGTGCTAGGAAAGGGAAATCCATATTATGAATGAAGTTGGATGGGCCAGGAGCCTTGGGAAATGGAACATACTGGGAGAGAGGGAAGGCAATTGTCTGAGCACTCTCGTGGCTCAAAGTAATTTCCTCAGGGAAATTTCCTGGGGACTGGTGGTGTCTTTTCAACTGTACTTTAATGAGTTTAGTCACCATTTCCGCTTGGGAATTATCAGGAAAGCTACCAATCATTATTGAGCGTCATTAAATTGTCATTAAATTGTTTGATGACTAACTCATGTAAACACGCAGGACCCAGTTAGCTGCTCTTGGTATCTGTGTTTTCAATTTGATTTCTGTTCACAGAAGTGAGTTGGAGACTTGCCAGTAGGAGGAAAGGTAGCCAGGCTGGCATCAGAGAATTGTCCTCTTACCTCAGCTCTCATCTGGAACAAATTTAATTGACTTTTTGCTGCCTTACTGGGTGAATCCCAAATTCATACCAGGAACTGTCAGGAAGGTTGTGCATTATTCATGAGCACACCCCAAGAACACTGGCAGAAAAGAAGGCAATGGGACAATATGCATGAGGTGGTTTAAAAAAAAATAAAGGAGAAAATAAGGGAGTAAAATAAAGGAGATTTAATTTAAACAAACATTCAGAAATGACTGTGTGGTATTTGACCCTAATGAACTTCTCAGGTAAAACTGTCAGGTGGTGATTTTTGTTTGCTTGCTTTTATTAGAGAATTTTAAAAACTGGGTTTTAATAGAATTTAGTGAAACATAAGGACTTAATATAGTCAGAGGGTATTTTGCCTTTGAAGTCAGGGAGACAGGCTCAAATTTGTATCCTTTTTGGAGAAAACAGCAAAATTTCTTTGCATCTGGTTTGTTCTTTGTGGTTTTTTTTCCCTTTATCTTATACTGAAGTACTTTATCATTGCCCCTTCCCCTGCATCACTTAGTTATGCACTGGGAAACTGCTTCTGAGTAATGCCCTCAGTGCCTGCTAGTTAGTAGAGATTTATTTAGACAGTCTAATGAATAAGCAAGAACTCTGTGCAGCACAATTTACATACAGAAATTAAGCAGTCAACAGGTTCTGCTTGATGGAAATAATCTCCTTGAATTCTCCTACTTCTTTAAAATTTCCATGGCAACTCTAAAGCCAGACTTCTTTCCTGGCTCAGAACATGCTGGTATTCTCCTGAATGAATATTGCTTTTTGGATTCTGCATGTCATGGTCTCGTTTTTCCTGGAGCTGTGTTATTAAAAGCTGCTGTTTGCATTGCTCTGTGTGTGTGTGTGTTTATCCCCTGTAACAAACACTGTTTGCTTTTCCATGCCCAGGTGTTACATCCTGGAGAATGACACTGTTCAGTGTGACACAGATCTGTACAGGTCACTGCAAGCTTGGAAGGACCATAAACTTCATATTGACCATGAGGTCAGTGCTGGTTTCAGTGTGTGTTTTTAGCAGGGTTTTCTGTGGGCTGATAGGATTGTGCTGACTGTGTGTGTGTCTGTCTGCCTCTGGGTGTCTTTGTCCCTCCTCTCTGGAACCTTTTGAACTTGCTGGCTGATTTCGGAATAGACATTTCAGGGATAATTAGGCTTGCACAAGTTTGTGAAGACAGGATGCTGAGTGAAGGAGAGAACTGCAGCTGAAGGCACAGCTGACAAGTGTCATATGCCTTGTGAGATAAACAAGACTTGTAAGGGTCCCCATCCTGGGAAAAAATGAATCTGGATCTTTTTAAAGTCGTAGTGGCCCTGCTCCCCCAATGTACCTCTCCAAAACAGGACTTCAGCATCAAATAGAAGACCAAGGAAAAGTGAGATCCATTAGTTTAATTCTTTTAGGATTAATTTCTTTTGCTTGCTTGTGCTTTTCTTAACCCTTGCACTTGGGAATTGAACTTTTTTTGATAGGCTTGTGTATATGAAGAACCTGGAGATAACTTGCCCTACGAAATTTGCCTGTAAAACATCATCTGATGTTTTTGTCACTAATATTTAAGAATATAAGCTCAAATCTTTCACATTTATTGTGTACAAAAGAGGGTCTAGGGATCCTCTTCCAAGGACCAGGTAGTGGTGGAACAAATGCTGGAGAGGGGCATAAAGGACAGACCTCCTGTAATCTCTTAGCAAATCACATAAATTCACAGCAAAGTTCTGTGTAAGGACTTCTTTCTTGGCCCCCTTTTATGGTACAGTTGACACACAAGGCAGACACTGAAAAATTTACCAATCTGCAAAGATTTAAGAGGGTGATTTCAGCATCACCACGCTCCTGGGGTTGTTTTTTCTTCAGAAAGCTCGGGCAGGATGGAGTGTCAGAGGAAATGAGAACTCGCTCCTGTCCTGTTGTGTTCCTGGTTTAGGGTCACAGGAATGGATTCTTTGTGTATTTCCCTTGAACACCCTGTCCTGTCTCTGCTTCAACAGCGAGGAGCTTCCACATCAGTGACTTCTGGTCTCTGGTGGCTCGTGGTAGTTCTGCAGGCTGTTGTTCACAGTGGATTACACTGTTTTTTGTGCTGTGTAGAGAACTGAGGTGGAGGCCTGCAATTCCCATCTGAGTACACTGCAATACCCACCGTGTATAAACCAGACTGAACAAAAGCAGGAGTTTTATTTAGTTAGGAAACCAGTCTGTGTGCCCCCCAGTCCCTTTCAGAGTCAAGAGTCAGAGCAGGCAAATGAACCAGTGAGGATTCCTCCTGCTGGAGTTTCCTTCTGGAAACTCAGAGAATTCGAAAATACTTGTTAGTGGTGAGAGTCGTGGAAGGTAGCGAAGAGGAAGCATTTGGTGACAGCAGAATGAGCTTGAGAAGATTAGAATGAGACTAAATCATCCTGTATTTTTTTTAACCTCTATCTTTTTTTTTTTTTTTTTTAGATTGAAACCTTGCAAAATAAAATAAAAAACCTGAGGGAGGTGAGAGGTCACCTAAAGAAGAAACGACCCGAGGAGTGTGATTGTAACAAGATAAGGTATTTTCTTGTGTACTTCAGAATAATTATTTGAGGTGTGAAACTGTAACTGATTTATCTCCTCACAGGAGGGATCAGGATCTGGTTTGTTCAGTGGTTGCTGCTTGCCCTGGATGTGCTTTCAGTGGAGTTGGACTCCTGCCCAAGTACACGACACACCTTCTCCCAGGCAGCAGTTTAATTGCCTGTGTCAAGTGGTGATGATGTAACAGGGCTTGTAAACCAGTTAGTTCTGCTCTTGTACTGAAGATGCTGCTGTTAAATATCAGAGATGAATATTTTAAGCTGCAGGGTTTTTTTCTGACAACTCTGACTCAAGCAAGTTGTCGTTCTGGTGCAGTTACACAAACAATAAGGTGTGAACTGTATGCGTGGGGAGATGAGGGGATTTCTTCCCATTCAGTTTTTTTTCAAGGCTGGATGTGTTATCTGCTGAGATGAAATCACAGCTACATCTGTTGGGAGAAGCAGGAATTTAACAGCTGGTGCAGAGTTACCTGTATTTGTAACCACCACTGGCTCAGGGCAACAGGCATTTCTTTCCCTACCACAGATCACTTGTGCATGAAGTGCAGCAGGTGCTGGAATAGTGATGAGCTGTCAGCATGTCTCTGCATGGTTGGTTCTTGTTGCTTCTTTTAATCTTGTGCAAGATTAAAAAAACCTGACTGAAGGAGATAGTTCTTTATTATAGTCTTACTTTGTTAATTTGTTATAAGGATTAAATTTATGAAAGCTCCCAATAGCATTTAGGAATTTAAAAGATTTGTTCTGAAGGGAGTTTTAATCTGTGAACTAACTGAATTCAGAACAACAACATCTATTAAACTTATGTTTGCTGATTTTTTTGGGGTAGTAACTTTATTAGTCATAAAACATTGCTATTGGCTGAGGCTGCTCTGCCTCAGAATACATAAGGCACTGCTCTTGCTGGGACAGTTCAATCCATCTTGTTAGCTTTGCTGCAACTTCCAGCTCCTGACAAAGGGCCCTGCCCAGTCGAGCCAGGCTGTCTTTATTCACTGTACACTAAGGAATGAAGGGAGAGGTGACACTGGATTCAATCTGCTTCAAACCCAGTCTGATAGTGTGGTACAAATAGGAACCATTGTCTTTGTTGTTCACCAACAGTGCTGGTTTTTATTTTCCAGTTACCATTCCAAACACAAAACCAAACTGAGGCACAAGGGATCCAGTCTTCATCCTTTCAAGTAAGTGAAGGGCTGTTCCTTTGAAAGAGGATGTGCCAAGACATTATAACACTTGGTCCATACAAACTAAGCAAAAGTACTGGTATTTCATTTATTCTGTGTTAAAAAGCATAAACACAGAGACACTGGGCAAGGAACTGGGCCCACACCAAGATGCTAGTAAATTCTGAGATAAGGTTCCTGCTTTGGGAAATGTCCTGTCACAGACCTCAGGCAAGCCCTGGAAGCCCCTTTGGCTGCATTTTTATTTTCCGGTGCTGTTAAACTGCAGGGTTGTCCCCGTTTGGCAGAGAAACCGTTTAATTCAAAAGACGTTGATTCTTTCCCTCAGAGCAGCTTATTTGTACGAGCTATTTGGGGGTTCTTAGGTGCATTCCAGTGTACCAGAGTTTGCATGACCCTGATGTTTGGTGTGTGCAGGAAAGCCCTCCAGGAGAAGGACAGGCTGTGGCTGCTGCGGGAGCAGAGGAGGAAGAAGAAGCTGCGCAAGCTGCTGAAGAGAATCAAGAACAACGACACGTGCAGCATGCCCGGGCTCACCTGCTTCACCCACGACAACCAGCACTGGCAGACTGCTCCCCTGTGGACATGTAAGGATATGAACTCGGGAATAGGGAGGAGGGTTCTGGCTGGGCTGGGCTGGTGGGTTACTGGATCGGGGTTCCATTGCCTGTGTAGCCAAAGCTGTGCAGTTTGCCCCAAAGGAAAGAATCTTCAGTGCTGCACAAAAGGGAGGTAAAAACAACTGCAAGCAGCCAGCAGACAGTGAGCAGTGTGCAGTGATGGGTGTGGTATCTCACCATCTGGAATGTTTCCCAGCTGGACAAGACGCTGCTTTAATTCACCGTGCCACGGGGTGTGCACGGAATGAGAGGCTGATGCTGGAGGGCATTCTCTGCTTTAGAGCTCAGGAGTGAGAGTTCCCCTCTATGAGTGAAGTTATGCTATAAACAGAAATAATTAGCAGTGCTAAAGACTGTAGCTGATGCCTTTGTAACTCTTCAATTTGCAGTGGGCCCTTTCTGTGCCTGTACCAGTGCCAACAACAACACGTACTGGTGTTTGAGGACAATCAACGAGACCCACAACTTCCTGTTCTGTGAATTTGCTACTGGATTTTTGGAGTATTTTGATCTCAATACCGATCCATATCAGGTATCTGATCACAGACCTCAAGCTCATGAAATGCAGCATTTTTCCTTACTGATGATCAAACAGCACAGTATTGCTGCACGATGTAATTTAAGGCCTATATCACTTAAACCAGTATAATTTGGCTCTTTCCTGTTACAAATAAACCACCTGTATTCCATATATGAAAGCCATCAAACCACAGCGTTACTAACAAGAACCCCCTCTTTATTGCAGCTAATTAATGCAGTGAATACGCTCGACAGAGATGTTCTCAACCAACTGCATGTCCAGCTCATGGAACTCAGAAGCTGCAAAGGGTACAAGCAATGCAATCCAAGAACCAGGAACATGGATCTAGGTAAGTGCCCCTCCTGTTGCACTCACAAACTCCCCAAAAGGACATGGGAAATACGAAACTTAAATCAGTCAAAAGAATTTTAGTATTTCTTAATATTGGGAGTGTCCTGCTGAGGCTGGTAACTGCATGCTTAGATTTTTGTGTGTGTTCAGTTTGTGTTATGTAGTGTTTTTAAAATTAAGAATGATACTTAGCCTAGTGATGAGTGTTACAGAGATGCAGAAGATGATGAGGAAAGATACTGGTGAAAGAGGGAAAGAAGACCCTGATAGACCAGCTCAAGTTGGAAGAGACTTGTGGAGTTTTGCTCCAAACTTGTGCTCAGTGCAGGGTCAGATGTGAGGGCACACCAGGTTCCTCAGGGCATTGGGTGATCTGTTATTAAGTCCTTTTTTAAATTGTCTTACCTGATAACAGGCAATCCCTGCTAACACTGTTTATTTTTCTTCACCTAGGACTTAAAGATGGAAGCTACGAGCAATACAGGTACATTTTTTAAAAAAATTACATTATTCTTCTTAACTAATACCTTCATGCTGAGGGAACAAGTGTGGGATTGGGAACCACATGGACAGGCATGGCCTGGAAGGGCATTTGAAAGGATTTCCCCCCCTGCCCCCAGTTGCTTTGAAATGCTGGAGCTGTTTGTTTCATGTTCTAACTTAGGTAGTCAAAAATCAGGCTGAACTCTTCTCCTTCCTCATCTTTCAGACTGTAGTGCTGGTGGTTTTCTTGGTGATGGTTAACTTTTTTCTCCTTTTGCTGCTTGAAAATTAGGCAGTTTCAGCGTCGAAAATGGCCAGATGTGAAGAGACCATCATCTGCCAAGTCACTGTGAGTTGGGAGCAGTTCACCAAAAGCATTTGCTTTTACTTAGCTTTTTTCCTTCACTTCTCTTTCTGCATGCAGCACCTTTTATAACATCATCATCTTAAGTGGGAAGTCCTCTAAATTACACAAGAAATGCAGTACTTCCATCATTACTGACAACTGCTGTCCTAAACCTCTTGGTCCACGTTTTCTGGGACTGCAGGAGCACTGAGGTCAAGGCAGTTTCAAATGAGTAAAGGTAGATGCTCAGCTGAAGAGACCAGTTATGGTAAACTGCCAGTTAAATTTAAACACCAGTATGCTGGTTTTGCCTAAATTTAAATTAGTAGCAGCTACCTTGAGGTTTTTCACCCAATCCAGGAAGAACAAAACTGATTGTAATTTCTCACGAGCAGGAAGAGTGTCATGTCCTTTTTTGCTCTTTACTGACCACAGCCTTCTGTTGTGAGCAAAAAAAAGGGAAGTTAAAACAGAAGGTAGACTACAAGACAGATTTGTATCTAAGACTGCTTTTTTCTTACTGAGCTGGCCTTTAAATCTTGACTGTGCTGTTCAGTTCTCAACCTGCCAGAGTTCAAAATTTGAGTGAGAAATTTAAGTACTTGAAAAGTTACCTTTGTCCATTCCTGTCTCTGAATCTCCCCTTAAAAAGGAGGCAGAGATTTCAGTTCATTGAACACCATGAAGTGCTCTCAAACTGAGCAGTAGAAAAAAATATGCACAAGTCCCTTCCTAGACACAGTCTGGCCTTCTCACTCACCCAGGAGGATTTGCTCATGTTATACAGTATTTTTATTTCTAGTTAAAGAGATCTAAGACTGGCTTTAGAACCAGAATGAGGCTTGAATTAACAAGCTTTGTACAGGCTGAAGTTTCAAACAGTTGGATTGTTTCTGTCATACACCTGCTGTGGTTTTATAGGTGGTGCACATTGTTTTTCACTGCATGGAATCATTAAAAATATTTAACTGCTTTCTACTAGAATGTTATACACTAAAACTGTGTTTGTTTGTTTTATTTTAAAGAGGACAGCTGTGGGAAGGCTGGGAGGGCTAATCTCCCCAACTGCTGCACCTCCATGAGGATACAAACTGGCCAGAACTTGAATCCATGTACAGACTAAATGAATTGTAACATTAGCCTGAAGGACTGGATAAACTTTGAGGCTGAAATAGATAGAATGTTTGCACTGGTGAGTGAGTTAAATAGATGCAGTGAAACTATGGGACGTGCTGTCAGAAACACAGCTCTCTGAACTCCACTATTGTACCTGCTTTTTGCTTTGGATTATACCTCACCTGCTTCACGAGGCATTTTCCTTCCAGAAGACACAAGTAAGGCTGAGCCAGGAACTGAGAGAAGAGGAAGCACAGCCCCATCCCAAAGAGAGCCATTCCAGCGTTTACAGGGACAGCTGAAGGAACTCCAGACAATTTTCAGCTCAGTTGTATCTTCAGTTGTCACGAGAAACACTTCACAGCCAAGTATAACTCTAAAGCAAGATTTAGAAAACATGGATGCTTTTCCTTCTGCTGGGGTAAAGGCAGTGGTTGAACAGAACCTTGAGCAGCACTGAGTGTTCTCAACACCACGACAATTCTCCAGTCCCCTCTGAGGATACGTTTTAGCTCCACGTCTGTTTGTCCATCCTTCTGCCACCTCGGTGCAGATTAGAGAAAATCCTGACTAACAGAGTTGTGGAGGGGTTGTGTAAAATACTGCTCAATATACTGTTTGCAAATCAATTCCTTCAGGTTGTAAAGAATTTTGTTAATAAAAAGAGTGTAATGCCCATGCCCCGTTTTTCTCAAAACGTTACTTACTGTTGCTTAGGACGTGTCAGAATTTATCCATTTTGAGAAGTACTGAAAATTTCAGTAAATGTACATCTCAAATTTTAACAACATCAGATTTGTATGAAGTTTTTTTATGTGGTAATAGCCTATTGTATGTTCAAAACCAAAACAGTTCCTCTGAGAAAGCAGCGTTTGCTCAGCAGTGTAACTTTTACATTTATTTTTTTAAAAAGGCAGCTCTGAGAAGTTCAGTACTTGTAGTCAATAAACAATAATCTAGTTAATAGTTTAGTCTACAAAAAATGTAGAAGTTCTGAATGACAGTTACTGTTTAAAGGCTTTTAAAGGGAAAAAACCCCCAACCTATCATTTTACTAAAGCACAGTGTACAGAATTACTTGAGTATTTTCATAAGGACATTATTAAATACATCGTAGTACAGGCCATTGTAGCACAGGCACTGGGGGTGAGATTTGTATTTATAATTCCTGTAACTCTGCTACCTGTTTTAAAGGCACATGCCTGAGGGCACTCATGGGGCAGGACTGGACCAACTGTGGCCTTCACTCCTAACAAAGAGGTTCTTTTTCTTTTAAAACAGAAACTTGCTCTTTTAGAAATGCAGTGTAAAAAAAACCAACCCACTGCATTTTGGAAATTACTTTGGAACCCTTCCTGGTTTTGCACATAAGGAAAATCAAGTGGCATTACATCCAGCCATATAGATCTCTGGTACCACACCTACCTGCTCAAAAAATATACTTGGATGTAGGAACTAAGGAAAAAAATAACAAAAAACTCCCCCATAAACCAACAACGAGCTTAAAAAGCAGAAGTGGTGTCTTGGAAAATGTGTCATACAGCAAAACTAGGCTTGAGGATTTGTATTATATGTGGTAAGTCAAATATACTTCCCAAAATTTTCTTGCAAGCTTTTTTAATTATGGGAGTAAAATACAATTGTCTGTCTTGAACTAGCCATATATTTTCTTTGTAACTTGTTACAGCTTTCATGGATTATCAGAAACATCTACTAGATGATGAGATCCTGGATCAATACAAATGAGTAAAAAAGGAAACACAGTTTTGCTGCTTCCCAGAGAAAAGTTTTAGCCATCTGCTAAACTTTACAGGAAGAATCTGAGGTCAGATTTAAAAAAATTGGCACTTACCTTTTTTTGTGTGTGTGTGTTCAGCCTTTAGTCCTTGGCCAGCTGAGGGTGTGATGGTCAAAATCCTGCAGGCCCAGTGTTCCTGCTCCTGTTGAAAATCAAGTTACCTTGTTCCTTTCCTCCAAATCCTGAGCTGTGGGGTTGTTTGGGGCACAAGAAGCAGCTGCTACTTTGTGAAAGGTAAGTGAGTTGTTGCCAAATTGGGGAAAGCTGCCACCTCTTCACCTTCCAGCTCCCATCCAGACTGCTGTTTGAGTTGACAAAGAGAACACACCCCAGTTGGTCTGGATGCTAAATGGGGCTCATCAGTGAAAGGTCTCAGTTGTTGCCCCCTCAGCTTTTGCAGCCAATTAGGAAAAGATGTAAATCCTTCTCTGTACAGTTTTCCTCTGTGGTGGCACTGAATTTTCTCTGACCTTTGCAGGATACAGTCATGAACCTTAAAGTATCAGACAGCTAATCAAGCTCTGATTTTAAATAGAAACCTTTATTTACATTATTATTAACATCCAAACACAAAAGCCAGAAGGGCGGTAATACCTTACAACCAACTCTTTTATAAATCAGTCCCCATGATTTCTTCTGTTTTGCAAAATAAAGATACAGATATTTCAAGCAATACTTACAATGTAAACTAAACTTAAATGCAGTTCTCAATACTGTATGCCTTCTCCTGAGAATTTTTTTAAATATTGCTCTCAGAATTACATGGTTTCATACTTGCTGTATCATTCTGTCATCTGGTAGTCTGCACATAAATTCTAAAATAAAAGGTGTGCTATAATTGGTGCAACATTCAAATAAGTTTTGTCTTGTGACTGAAACGTGGTCTGGATTTTCTAACTTTGAAAGCAGTATTTTAGGCCAAGAAAAAGAGTATTACATATGACTTTTATTAATAACCACATGGTTTCTGTGATCAAAAGAGACACGTAGTAAAACAACACATTTATGCAGCAGTGATCAGAGGTGGCTGTACTAGATAATTGATCTCTTACTGTTGAATAATGTTATACAGTTGTTTTTTAAAAACATTCAGAAAAACCTGCTGCTACAGAACCAAAGCAAAATTGATGGCAATAACTAAATGTCAGCAGATTTCAAACTAGATGTACTATGCAGGATTAGTGCTGCCAAGAAAGGTCATCAGTGCTTTTTAAAAATACTCCCTCCCTAATCAAGTTGAAACTAAAAATCTTTGGATTCAGCAAAAAAAAAAAAAAGGTACTGGAAAGCTCCAACAATCTAAACACAGATGAGAAAATGATGATCCTTAAAACATCAGTCAGGTACCAGTTAAACACAGATGTATAAATAGAATCACTTAAAAAAACCTGTAGGGCAGGATGTATAAAGCAGTCCTAAGAGCTCACCTAATGAAAGCAACCAGGGTTTGTAGTTTCCATCAATATCATGAACAACTACAAAATGCAAAGATTGTTCTGCTCTGATCTGATATAAAAAGCACAGGATTGTTGCCTTTCAGTGTCAGTAGGCAGCACTTCAAGAGATATGTTCTAAGAAATGTAAAAACAAAAAAAGAAGTTCCTCAGGCTTTTAAAAGTTCTGCATTTAAAAACACAGGTGAATTGGACAGAAGATTTCCAATAAATGCTGTCACCTGATGTGTGTACTCAGTGCTAATGGCAGAGATTGACTGATCTGCATTCCCTGTGGAACACAACTGGCTGGATGCTAAGGATGAATGTTTTGAGACTCGTTCTATTTGGAGTTATTTCTATTAAAATGGAAGATCACTGAACATTCTGAACAATAAAACCACCTCTTGCTACCGTACCAAGAACAAGCAATAAAGAATTTTGCACTCACTTGGGAGAAATCAGTTTTCCATTACACAATGAACAACAGAACAGGAGCACCACACATCTTAAAAGTTTCTTGGGTCCTCACTTAGGAAAGTTTAGAGGTTTGACTTGTTGTAACTTTAAAAACTGCAAAGGGATCTTCATTCCAAGGCCCCAAAATGGAGGGGAGCCCTCCCCCCCACACGTTATCAGCAAACAATATGTAACCAGACTTACTTAAATACTGATCTCAGAGAAACCTGCTTAGAAAACACATTCCTTCCTATTAGAACAATCCAATGGAGGTGCAGACATTTGGTTAAAGTGTGGCTTCATATCCTTAAAGACTTCTAGATGTCATGTAACAACAAATATTTTGCAACAGACAAACATCTCCAAAGAACATTTAAGAGTTCATTAAAATTGACCAAAAAAGACACAATCCAGATTCATCAGCTGAAAAGGTGACCTATTACAGAAAGACATGACCGTCCTGACAAGGTGGGACATCTTACAATGCAGAGCCTTTGTGTCAAACTGCCTTATGTAAAAAGACACGTAACAAAAGTGCTCACAGGTGGAGAAAGCATTTAACAACCGGTCTTTTTTTTTAAAAAAAAAGCTATTATGTTAAAGATGTAAAAATAAATGAAGTGTTGAAGACCAAAAAAGAGAAATATGTGGGCCAAAGTCACCCAGCTTCAAAGTCATTAAATCTAATTAAAGAAAAATTCTATTTGGACCTCAACTACACTGAGTTTACAGAAATCAATTTTGTTAAATATTTAGCTTCACAAACTCTGCAAAAATGAGTTAGTGACCTACAAAAGTCATATATATAATACATTATCTTAAAGATCATATTTACAAAATTTATTCACAAAAAGACTGCAAAATTCTGATTCTGACTGCAGTGCCTTGCCTTTTCTGAAGATATTTTCAAAAAAAAGATGAAAGGTTATTGCTCTAATTTCCATACACAGAAAACATTACCTTATGCAGTCTTTTCAAATAATTCTTAAGAGATTGTGTTTGAGAAGGAACATGAGTACACCCCTACCTTCATATTAAGTCCTTATCAAAGATATTGCATTAATCCATTATATAGTCTTCTATAAAGTGCACTCAGCTGCACAGCAATATGTAAATATTAGTCACAACTGTGTTTAAATAATTTAAACTGTTTATCCTCTCTTTTTAACCCTTGGCTTCAGTGGACAGGATTTTGGACTAGAATGTGCCAATTCAATTTTGCACTGCTACTTTGCTTGGGAAATCCCTGACTCTTGGGGGTAAGAGACTAAAAGCAGCATTTATGTTCAGGAGTTAATATAAAAAGAGTCAAGGCTAAGACTACATTCTCTGTCAGATACTGTTACTAGAGAAATCAAAAATTCTTACCACTGTGACTTCTCCAGGCACTTTTGTCTGCCTGTAGCTGAAGGGCTTTGGATACAGTAAACAGATCAGGAACACCAGGAGCCTACCCAGCAAATCTACTAAAATGCCATTACCAAATTCACATTTCTAGAGGAAGAGCGCCAAAAATATTAACAAACTTTTTTTGTACTCCACAATATACAGTAATACAGAGACTGCTTCTACTAATTTTTTTTTTCCTTTTTGGGATAGAGGTTTTTTTGGCTTATTTTTTCCTCTGCATGAAGTAACTTAGGACATCACGGTGATTAACTTAGCACTGTAAGCCCAGTGTGAGTCACCTTCCTTTCCAACACTAGTGCATCAGTAATCCAGCCTTTCTTGCTTGAAGATGTGGTTCTGGTGTCAGCAGTACTTCTGTTAAAGAAAAGAAGAAATAATCATCACAGAAAATAAAAAACACCTTTGCCAAAAAAAAAAAAGTCCACATACTGCATTTGGAAGAGGAAACTACTGATAAACAATGTCTGCAAGCAAAAAAGTAGCTTTTCAATGCTCCACTTCTTTGAAAATAGATTTCTAGAAAAGAAATGCTTTCCCAGGATTTCCTAAACACACTATTTGAGTGTCTTTGTGTAGGT